TTATAGATCATCCACTCACAGCGCCCCCTGGTGTAACAGAGGAGAACTGCCCCACAGGGTTTCCTAGGCTGTCATCTATTTTATCACTATATACTCGTATATACTCTTATAGATCATCCACTCACAGCGCCCCCTGGTGTAACAGAGGAGAACTGCCCCACAGGGTTTCCTAGACCATTGTCTTAACTGGAGGAGATCTGAAGCAGCCAACGCTCCAGTTGGCAGATGAGCCCAGTGTTGAACCTGTGAGAGCAGATCCAACTTGAAGTGGGTTCATTTTGCTACCAACTTGCAGCTATCACTAGAATGTGGTTTAAATCCAAAAACAGTACCACACCCGAGCTCCAGACTAACATGGTGATCACTGCCCATGCTACAAGATGCAAACAGGAGCTGGCCTCCTAGCTGGGCGTCGTTTTGGGGAGCAACCCTCTGTACTTGTTGAGAGGTGTTTCTAAGCCCTAGATCGGGATTCCAGGGGGACGCTGAATTCCACCCTCTTGGCACTGATGTCAGGGGGCCAGCATACCTTGGCCAGGTTCTCGGTCCGGATGCACACCCCCTGCCTGCGTAGGTACTGGAGGAGGAACTGGTTTGTGGTTGGGACGGTCAGGTCGAAGGCCAGCACCTTCAGGAGCAGGTGCTCCATTCTCAGCAGCTGGCGTTTGGTATAGGTGTCGTCAGTTATGTAGACAAACTCGTCCACCTCGGGGGGGTAGACCTCTTCATACTTCCTGAGGGGAGAGAGTCTGTTAGGGGGTGCCTGGAACACACAGGGTGGGCCGCGTCATATGTAAAAGCATATAATGACACAACATATGACCTAGGAAACCTTCTGGGGCAGTTCTACTCTGTTACACCAGGGGGCACTGTGAGTGGATGATCTATAAGAATATATACGAGTATATAGTGACACAATAGATGACAGCCTAGGAAACCCTGTGGGACAGTTCTACTCTGTTACACTAGGGGGCACTGTGAGTGGATGATCTATAAGAGTATATATGAGTATATAGTGACACAATAGATGACAGCCTAGGAAACCCTGTGGGCAGTTCTACTCAGTTACACCAGGGGGCGCTGTGAGTGGATGATCTATAAGAGTATATATGAGTATATAGTGACAC